GTGTTTGGTTGTGTTGGGTTGCGTTGGGTCATGTTTGGTTGCGTTGGGCTGTGTTGGGTTGCGTTGGGTTGGGTTGGGTTGCGTTGGGTCGTGTTTGGTTGTGTTGGGCTGGGTTGGGTTGGGTTGGGTTGGGTCGTGTAGCCTCGTACCATCCAGTGAGCTCCGGCCAGAAGCTGCTCGAAGTTCTCAAAGCCTGAAACACAAACAGACGTTGGTTTAGTTCCTCTGAAGTCTGAAGACGACTGTGATGGAGCATCAACCAGAATGAACTGAACGGACTGAACCAGAACCAGAGGTGGATCAGAAAGTTCTGGGACTGTTGGTGAGGTTTAATCACCGTCAGCAGCTGAGATGATTCCAGATGTTTCTGGACCATCATCTCCATGAAGCTCCACCGCCGCCAGGCAGATCAATCAGTGGATCAGTGTTTTGTAATTTTGGACAATTTCACTAAGCGTGGACACAATCTGAGTCACTTTAAATGGTTCTGGACACATTCTGGTCCAGTTCTGTGTCGTTCACAACGTTCTGATGAGTGTTTGACAGACTTTGGAGTAACTTTGCCAGATTTCTTCTGTCCTTCTAGATTAACATCCAGCATTCTGCTGGAACGTCCAGAGAACGTTCAAACAGCTCAACTGGGGTTCGTGTCGCTGCTGAACTTTCTGATCAAACCTCGTAAACATGAGAATCTACAGAACCAGAAACTTCTCAACTGGATCAATATGACGAACCAACAGGACACAAACCAGACGAGAGTCAAACATGATCGCTAGAAGCTGGATGATGTTCGGTTCTGAAACCGACCAAACACGGATCATGAATGAAATCAGCCACAAACAGCTGCAGTCAGACGTTTGGTGTTCATGAGACGAGGCGCTGAACTGATCCACAGCCAGAGATCCAACAGAGACCAGAGTTTAGCACAAATTCAAGAGAAACGACATTCAATCAGTATTTTGGGCTTTTTTCAGTCGGACTGAGAACATTTTCATTCCTTTAGTTATTATTTGGTTGTTTTGTCACCAGACGACTGGAATTAACAGCAAAGTCTTCAAATAAACACTGATTCATGTTAGAGACCAAACAGCCGATTAACTAAACCACCAGGACGGTGACGGAGACACGAAGCTGGAAAACGCTGCGTCTACAACCAACCGGCACCGAGACCGGCAGCAGCTCCTCCTTCAGGGTTCTGAACCAGAACATATGTGACTCTAGTTTGAATTTGGGGTTTTTGGAAACAACATTTTTCACCATTTTCTGACATTTTAGAGACAAAAGAACAAATCGATTGATCCAGAAAATAATCCACTGATCAATCAGAGGTGAAAATAAGAATCAGTTGAAGATGGTGGAAGGTGTGAAACCTGTTTAAAATCATCGCAGACATTTAAACCTTTTTTATACGTTTGTGACTCAGTTTGAAAGCTGGTTAATCAATAATCCAGTTAATCAATAATCCCAGTGACGTACCTATGTGCAGGGCGATGGACAGGCCGATGGCCGACCACAGCGAGTAACGACCTCCGACCCACTGAGGACGAGCAAACATGACATCACACATCATCCACCAATCAGAGCGCAGGCAGCAATCGCCAAAATCATCAAAATAAAAGCATCACAAAGCAGGAGCTGAGCTGAAGAAGGTTAGAAGTCTGTTAGTTCAGCTCAGGGGACGTTTGAAACTGCTGATCTTTAAATCTGAGCTGAAAACACTGATGAAGACTGAAACCTAGTAAAGTAATGAACCGTTTTCAATAAAGTTTCAGCAGCGTCACAGCGACACACTCGTGTACGGACATAAAACGCTGCAGAATCTGTTAGAATCATAGAAAACTCTGTTGTGATGACGGTTAAAGGTGTCGCTGAGGATCCAGAAGAACATCGTCTCAGGGTTTTCGGATGTTTTACTGGCAGAAAGCATCGGCCTGATTAATTAAATAATCGTTATGTAGGAGCAACGCCAACACTTGGGTACCTTCTGCTGTTCTACTTTGAGCTGAAAGCGGCTCAACGGGGATTTAACCAAAACATCTGAAATAATAAATGAAATAAAAAAAGTCATCTTTGAAAGCATTTCAACAAAGACAGAACCTTTAGCATCTCGAGGTAAACCTGAGCGACTGCTGGCGGCTGATTGGCCGTCACGTCGTCGTTATTTATGAACTGAATCATCTGCTGTCTGGTGAGAAGCTGAAAGAATAAATCGATCAACGAGTCAGACTGAAGATCTGCAGCTCAAACGTCTCCACCTGCAGCTGGAAGCTTCTGACCACAGCATCCACAGAAACATGTGACCTCCATCGTCACCACTTACGTCCCAGAACTCGAACATGTTGGCCGTGTCGATGCCGAAGTCCTTCACTTTGGGCTGCAGACAGAAACCAGGTTCAGTCAGAAACCATCACTGGATGTAATCAGATTACTTTCCCTGATCACATTATGGACAACGTCAAACAGAAACCGTTTATCGTCGGCTCATCTTCTTTCAGCTTCTGATCGGTGACTGTTTATGAAAATAAATCAAAGCGTCGCTGTTTCATAACGAGTCCACTAATTAGACATAATCATCATCTGACAGCAGAAACTACCTGCAGCTCACTTCTTAGGATTTAATCTGCTGGACGTTTCAAACTTTTATGAAATCCTCACACTGTTAAACGTCACTGAGCTCGTCGGTGATTTTAGATTTAATCGTCCAGAACATCGACGAGCAGGAAAAAGATCCACGCTGATGATGGAAAACACGGGATGAAGCTCCGCTGCACACAATTCAGATTTTAAAGCGTGACGACTGACTTGAACGCCAGACGGACGATAAACGGAATAACCAGTGTCTGGCCGTCGATCAGCTGATCAGGGATCAATGGACTCATTCATTGATCAGGAACTCACCGCATTGGTGGAAAGAGCCACGAAGTGTTTGGCCACAGCAGATTTCTGCAGAGAAAACATGAAGCAGCTTCATCAGATGAACTCTACTGTGGCTTCGAGCAGCTGTAGAATCTGAGGGTCAGTGAACACATCGATCAGTAAACTCACGTCTCCGGCCGTCTGCAGGAACCAGTCTTTGGCCGACTCGGCGTTGGTGATGGTCTCCTGGGTGGTGAAGGTCTGAAGACACGACAGAAAACAGACTGAACTGATCTGAACCAGGTTTAACAAAGTCAGGCTTTGTTCATGTTAGCTGGTTTAACTGAACTCCACTCAGAGGTGACAGACGCGTACTTCTGATGTGATCAATAAAGTATTCATGTTGTGATCAGTGATCGATCAGCTCCCAGCAGAGTGAAGGGACCAGACATAGAAGCCGAGCTACCCTCTGACCTTGGAGGCGACGATGAACAGCGTCGTCTCTGCGTTCAGGTGAGCCAGAGTCTTGGCCAGGTGAGTCCCGTCGATGTTGGAGACGAACCAGACGTTTGGTCCTTCGGCAGAGTACGGCTTCAGAGCCTCCGTCACCATCAGAGGTCCCTGAACGCACCACAACACACACAGTTAACTCCTCCGTCACCACCAGAGGTCCCTGAACGCACCACGACTCAGACAGGTTCGGTTGGTACACGTGTTGACGTCTTGTCACTGCTTTACAGACGTGAAACATTTCTGGAGATTGAATTAACTTTATTGTCTTTTTCCAGAAGCTGAAACCCTGAAGTGATGAACGAGTGATGTAGGCGTGATGTA